GAAAAACAAAATGAATGCAATAAATTAGTTTTTGAGACTTGAATTGAATTGAAAATTAGCCGTGCTACACACTGGCAATTTGTTTATTTTTGGCCAATCGCATTGTAGCTTTGTCTTACTGTAAAAAGTAATTTAAGCAAAATTAAAGTAATTTCACTGAGGCATTTTTTTACGCTCATTTTGATTTTTTGTTAGGGTGTGCGGGTTACATGTCAGTATTTAGACAGCCGCGTATTCATACTGGTCAGTATTTATACAAATACTGTTTCAACCAATCAGAATCGAGACAAAGAAGAAATTAATAAATAATTATTATTTATTTTGGATTATTTATGTTTTTTCTCGATTCTGATTGGTTCATAGAGTATTTGTCTAAATACTGACCAGTATGAATACGCGGCTGTCTAAATACTGGCTGCACTCCGGGTGTGCGATATATTGAAGAAATCTAGGAATTGAATTAATTTAGACAAATGAGTTAAATTGAATTTTATCTAGGATGAAGTATGTGGTGCCCGGATATTTTCCGTAAGCTGCTCAACAATATTAATATCCCTTGAATATCAGGATTTGCTGTAACCTGACTACTTCACGAAGTGGGAGGAAACAATGGCGTAGGGTATAAATTTGATCACCTGCAATAAAGCTCGTAAAGCAATAGAGTTACCAGTTATTCAAACCTTAATCAAATTTGTCTTTCACAGAAAATTGATTTTTCTTGCGATCAGCAAAGGGTGTTGCAATGGGTCTTGACTTTTCCATAAAATATCTTTGTCCACAGAATATTCAAACTAAAGAATGTTAAATTTAGGTTCAGTTCATGATTACGCTTGCGAAAACAAGTGTAGTGCAATCGGGAACGAGACTTTTTTTCCATCAACAACTTGTAATTTCCCTGAAAAAAAAAAATGTTTTTGTCGGCTTAGTTGCCGCATCGTAGAACTGTTTTTTGTTGCTGTACGCAATAAACTTTGTATTTGGCTTCAATTTACTTCTGCTCTTTGTAATTTTACTAGCCTTGAGTTCGTATATTTTTTTGTTTTTTTTTTTGCTTGAAAACTTTATTCTGCCCAAATTTTTTTGGCCTAATTTTGAGTCAATTCAAAAGAAACATAATTTTTATGCTGCCCTCTAGATCGCGCAAAAAAGAACAGATTCTTTGGTAGCAAGATTTCAAGCGAATGTTTTGTATACCTTTAGGAATTTATGAATCTCGATTTTTTGAGTTTGGTTAGCCCGAATCGTTCTATTGTTTTGGGTAATCAATATTTATGTTTGGAAAAGTTTTTTTTAGCCTAAAATTTTTAACAGAACTCATTCGTTTGAGACATTATTTTTTGATTTTTGGCTTTTTTGTTTTGTATCGCAAGTGGCGCGAAGCTCAGCCTCGCCTCTGTGTACGAATAGTTTTAGAAAGTATGATAAAATGAGATTTTTCTGGCTATGACCATTTAGATAATAACAAGACTTCTATTATCAGGGCAACGCGCCGAATGTTTTGGCTGTCCTTTAACTGGTCTCGAATAGTTTTTGGTAAATGAATATAAATTAAGTGTTAAAATTCGAGTCGTTTATAGAGTTAATAAGACCAATTAGATTGGTGTCCGACTAATAAGACGACAACCACTTTCGGTGGTACTTATGATCACGCTACACACAAATTCGCCAAATGTATTTCTGAGAAATATAATTCGCTAATATTCGATTAGTTCATATTATTGTTTTTTGTCGTGTTAATGTCATGTCGTCTTAATGCCTTGTCGTCTTTTTTACCTAGCACCTACTAATTAATTGTCTCAATTCAATTAGGAACGATTTTGTAGTGCGGGATATTTCGCCACGCATAAATAGTTCGCGTTGCCTTTTCCGAATCAAAGTGTAACACAACACAACACAAGCGGCCCGCGAAGATCTAAAGACTGGTTCTCCGAGAGGAAATATTCTTGTGGAAAATGGCCTTGAGTTGGATGCAGCTCCAGACACTGCAAGAGATTTTTGTGGCTCCTGGAGAAGGATTGCAGAGGAACAGAAGTTGGGAAGATCCTCGATGATTTTCCAAGAGGACTCCATGAAAGACCAGAACCATGGTTAGAGAGCCTCACTGGAGTTGTTTTGTCACTGATGCCACAGAAGAGTGCTCGACGAGTTTGCCGGTCGAGACTAGAAAGCAGAATGCTGTGGAGTTTTTGAACTCAATTGACGACTTCGATATTACCATCTGGACTGATGGGTCTGTGAAGAACGGCACGGAGGAAGGAGGTAGTGGGGCAGTAGTAATAACCTTGCTGTAAAGTGCTGTTATTAGAGAACCAGCTAGAAGACTATGCTCCAGCTTCCAATCAGAAATGAATGCCATTAATGTTGCGCTGGAGTACTGCACTAAGTTAAATGTTGACCATGGAAAATCTAATTTTATTTGCACTGACTCACTTTCATCTGTTTATGCCCTCAAAAGTGGTTTTGCGAGACTTGGAATGGAAAATCTAAATTTATTTGCACTGACTCACTTTCATCTGTTTATGCCCTCAAAAGTGGTTTTGCGAGACTTGGATTTGGTTTTCCAGATTTGGAGACGGCGTTGAAGACAGTGACTGTTAGGTGGGTCCCAGCCCATTGTGGAATAGAAGGAAATGAACGTGCGGACAAAGCGGCAGAAGAAGCTGGCGATTTGAATCAGTCCGAAATTCCAGTTACGTTAAAATTAGCCAAATCGACAGTGAAAAGAGGAAGGAAGACGAAAGACATCGATTTTTACAAAGAATATTATGAACTGAACAGAAAAAGACAGCACAAATTGTCAAGGAAAGATACTGAGATAGTGAGCCAATTCCAATCGGGGGCCTCGCCATTACTCTTTTCCGCTACGCTGCACAGAATGTGGAAGGTAGTCTCACCTGATTGCGGAGAGGAAGACACTGAAATGTAGATACTTGAGAAATGCCCAAGAGGCAATAAAGCTAGACTGCGAAATTAAACCCGAAAGCTGACGAATTCCTGAAGAACCCAAAGATGTTGCTGGACCTCCTCAAAAAGATGGGTCGGACATATCATCATTAAACTGATGGGAAGTTTCCTGAAAAAAAAAGAAGAAAAAAAGCATATACATTCTTTACTTTCTTCGAAAGTAGGAATAAATCATTAAAACAATACAGTCTCGGCTATTAATCATATTTAGTGTGCCAATCTACTACATTCTAATTTCTTCTGAGTATTTTGACCATTTTTCAGTTTGAGTAAATAATTTTGTAATAGCGAAAATTCAATGGCCTAATTTTTGTTTTTGAACTTCTTGGCTGCAAGGGGGAAAAATCAACCGAATTGGTTTAGGGGTAAGAGGCAATATTTAAAGTGTTTTAAGCGGAAATTTTTAACTATTCAACCGCTTTTATTACACAAGCAAAGCTTGTATGATAGTATGAGCTCTTTTTTTTTTAGATTTAAGTCCCTAATATTAGTGTTCGTTTTTTGATCAATAACCAGTTATTAAAAACAGCCAATGCTAAGGATATCAACACAGACACTTATGTTACAAATAGCACTTTAGCTTCTAGGCATCATGGATCTGTAGCGTAGAGGAAGGGATCTGTAGCATAGGGAGGCAAGGTAGGGAACAAAATAAGAGGGTTCGAACCTGGGAAGGGTCGGATGATTTTAATGATCTTTTTCGTATACCAATTAAAAAGCGTCCGCTGTATAAATTGAGGCATTTTAGTTGGTAATCTAATAGCCTAAGTTTTATTTGATTTTAAATATTAGTTCAGAACTAGACATTCGGGAAAATTCACGCTGTCCGAGTAAACAAGTCTTGAAATAGCGAGCAAGCCAACTGCATTCTCTTACATGGGTATGCTAATCGACACAAATGCTAATAGGCCAGTCCCCAAAGAGTTGGGCTGCTTTGTTATGCACAAATATAAAACTCAGCTCTCGCGAATTTTGAAATTTTGTCGGAATGGGGGTGTTATGCTACCGAATTCCTGGTAAAGTTAGTTTTTTGTGCAAAAAGCACCATCTCCTGAAAAAACTACAAAACTCTGCTTTCTTTTTCTAACATTTCTCCGGTTTTAATTTTAAAGCAGATGCTTTCTTGTTCTTTAAGTTAACATGTCTCTAGGGTAAAGTAGGCTTCCTATTAGCATTTGCTTATCAACGCTTATTTTTCGTAAATTAAATTTTATAGATCATTATGAAGAAGTTTTCACTTTGTTATAGAGATGTGACCGGATCGAAATTTACCGGATTACCGGATCCGGATTGAATCCGGTAAAAAAAGAACCGGATTCCGGATTTCATTTAATTGTTTGTCAGTAATTTGAGTGCAGCTGTTGAAATAAAGTATTACTGCTACGAGTAGTTTTTGTTTGATGTATATGCGTCATTCGCGCCTCGTTTTCACGCAATTTACCAGAATTTTCCGAACAGCTTGTTTTGATTCATGATACTTTTTACTTCTTCAATAATTTATACATTGAGTAAAATTTCTGTGTAACAGCATGAATAAAAACAGTTGCAAACTTATTTTTTTACTGAGAATTCAACAAATTTTAGGCGAATCAAATCCGGTAAAATCCGGTTACTTTTTACCGGATTCCGGATCCGGATTGACATCCCAAAATTGCCGGATTCCGGAACCGGAATCCGGTACATCTCTACTTTGTTAAGCTTGTTTGTCTTATTGTTCTGATTTGGTAAATGATTGAAATGTATATTTTTCTTTGTCTTTTTCGTTGATTTACTCAGTGTCGGCAAAAACTATTTAAAATGATTGCTTTTAGACCACTGCCTTATTACTTACATTTTCTCGAAGGAGTTACCAATCCGCTTACCAAAACACTTGCATAATAATTGGCGTCTCTAGATACATCTGCGCTTCTTCCGATGCGCATGTTTACTTTCTGAGTGCGATTTCAATCACATGCTGTCAGAAAGACATCGTTAAAAGAAGCTAACTGCTCATTTGTAAAACAACTCATAATATAAGGACGATGTTTCTGTTTCAGCCTTGTATCATACATGTGCATGAAGTATTTGACTACCCGGATCGACTATATCTCGTTCTTGAGAGGTATGTTTTTCCGAATACAATTCGAATTGAATGTTGAAATATTGCCGTATATTTGTCTGTTTCTGTTTCAGAGCGATTGGTGGTGAGTTATTTGACAGAGTTGTGAAGAAGGATGGATTGGATGAGTTCACTGCGAAGCTCTACTTCTATCAAATGCTACTGGCAATAGAGGTGTAGCAAGCTACTATCATTTATCGTTTTTATTGCTATGAGAAAACCAACCAGTTGGCTAACATATATTCGGCTGCTGCGAATATGAATGAAAAAATTAGTATTAGAAACAGAAAACCAATTGGAACCTAGAACTTTGATAAACCATTTTCTTGTTGCGGCGAAAAATTAGATGAGCGTGGTCGTTTGAATGCGTCAGTGATTCAAAATTGAGCGATTTAGTTTTGAATGTTCAATGATAAATGTCTCTGTCGCGATCATAAACTGTCTTTTTCATTGTCCAATTTATAGCTAAATGTTCCAGTGTCAGGCTGTCCGAACTTTTATGCTAACTGTATTTGGATTTAAACTGCAAGGTATGCAGTAACAAGTATTTCAGTACCTGCACTCAAAGAACGTCGTGCATAGAGATTTGAAGCCGGAAAATATTCTGCTGGCAAGTGAGGCGGACATGACCCTGATTAAAGTGACAGACTTCGGTTTGTCGAAACTGGTGGGGGAGCAGTCGCTGATGAAGACACTTTGTGGCACCCCCAACTACCTTGCCCCCGAGATAATCAAGACATCGGGCATGGGACACTACAATAGCAAGGTCGACTCGTGGAGTCTTGGTGTCATCCTCTTCATCATGTGAGTGAGGTTATTATGGTTCTTTTGTCGGTGAACAGCTCTTTACCCTTGCGATAAGCAAGGTTATTGCAATCGGGAATTAGACTTTTATTCCCGTAAATAACTTTTTTCACAGGGCGCTCATCTGGACTTCTGGACTCATCTCTAGTGGCACCTTGTGCTCAAATTTTCTAGCGTTCTTGGCACCTTGTTTCATAATGTACTCAAATTTCTGAGCGATTTTGTTCACTTGCCTGCATACTCCCCTAGTCTTTTTTTTTTACTTTACTCCTCTCTCTCTACAGCCTTCAAAAATATCTGTGAGGGGAATATTGTTGATTTTTTTCGTTGGTCAAAAATGCCTCATTTTAAATCTGAGTTTTTGGTTTCAATGAATGGAATGGATTCAAAAATCTTCCTGCATAAGCCGCTACGCTCAAATATTCTGTACACAAATTTATGGCCCTCAAAATAGAACAACTTTTGGTAGTGGGAAGCTCCCCTGCATCAGAGGCTACTCACAAATTTGTTGTACACAAAAGTTATCGTTCTCGGAAAAGTCGTTTTTTTTTATTTCTGTTTCCTAAACTGTTTACTCTTTCGATAAGCAAGGGTTTTGCAATCGGGTACTAAATTTTTTTCCGTAAATAACTTCGTTCACGAGACTTTTTTCATCTGGAATCATTTCCTGGAAGTCTGTTAGCAACAAATTAACCACTAAAGATATATTTTTCGTACTATTTGAAATTATCTCTCCTATTCGAAAATATCGCATTAATTGTATTAATTGCTTAAAAGGATTCGCATTAATTGTAATATCAGCCTAGTGACCTCATGTTGCGTTTATTGTCGAGCTGTGTGTATGTTTTGAGGATGAGGGGTTTCTATAACTTTTTGTTAGTTTTATTGTTTTTGGAAACTTTTGGCTTTTTTATTTGGAATTTTTATTTTTTTTGGGCTTAATAGGTTTCGAGCGATATCATCTCGGCTCTGTGACCTCATATTGTTCTATTTGATACGCGAATAAAATTTGTGTGTTTTTGAGGATGTTTTGAGGGGCACCGAATACATTTTTTCGAATTTTTTTCGGCTCGAAGGGTTTCTGTTAAGGTATTTTCGGCTTTGTTACCGCTTGATAAGTTATCTTTCGATGCATATTTTACATTATATGGTTTTTGCACGTTCTTATTTTAAAACTAATTTTTTCATTTCGATAGATCTAGTTTTTTTAAATTTTTTTCGACTGCGGCTTTCTTGTTATGCATCGCAAGTAGTGCGAAGCTCAGCGTCGACTCTGTATTGGGTTTTTGTTCGAAAACTATCATGCAATATCTGGAATTTTGGTTTCCGTTCGAAGGTCGGGTTGTGGGAAGCTCTTTTGCTTTTGAGACTGAGCCGTTAATATTTTGACAGCAAAAGTTATGGCGCTCGGAAAAGTTAAAGTTTTTAGTTATTTGACTTTTTGTATAAAATTTTTGACTTTTCTCGAGAACTACCCTGCCAAATGTAAGATTTTGGGTTCAATCGAAAATACAGGTTGCGAAAGCTCCTCGCCCTAATTTTTTCACAAAAACTATGATTCTCGGAAACGCTATTTTTCCCGTTTTTTTTGTACTTTTCTCGCTAACTATCATTCTCAATCTGAAATCATAGCTTCATCGAAACAATGGATTGTTGAAAGCCTACCTTTATAATTGGATACGCTCATTTTTTTAAAGAACAATTTGGAAACTTTTTGACTCTACTTGAAAACTACCGTGCCAATTCTTAGGTTAAGTTTTCAATCGAGAAACCCGGTTTTGGCTTAAGAAACCCGGTTTTTAGCAGAAGAAAGTTATGGTTTTCGGAAAGTCGTTTTGACCATTTTTAGGAATTTTTAATCGTTTTTCAGAAACTTTTTGATTTTTTTTTTAAAATACTACCCTGTCAAATCGTTCAATGAAAAGTTCAATTAAAAAACCGGTTGCGAGAATTTTTCTTGCAGAAGCGGCGACACCTTTTTTGTAAGCGAAATATCATGTCCTGGGGAAAATTCAATTATTTCAAGAATTTAAAGAATCTAATTTTTCAAATCACAAATTTTGTCCCGCATCAGTATAAATAAGTCATAAAAAATCAAACACGTACTTTTAGCTTTAACTGCTCCCCTAATTGTTTTTTATCGAGACCTACGAAAATTTTGGTTCCATTAGTTTTTTTCCAACATTTACATTTTTTTTCGACTTGGGTTTCTTAATGTTTGTATTGCATCGCAAGTGTTGCGCGGAGCTCTGCTTCGCCTCTGTGTAATTATTTCGTTTTTTTTCTCTCTCAAATTTTGTCGTTAGGAATGGTCAAGTGATTCATTCGGAATGGCTTAAACGTTGATTGCGCCGTCAAACCGGGAAATAAGATAGATCAGAGCTATACCGGTCTTCTCTTACGGAAAATGTTACAAACAAATTTGATTTTCATCGCCTGAGCTATTCGACAATAGGCGTTCTTCTACAGCAGTGTTTTGTATCGTAGGGCGGGGAGGGGGCTCTCAGTGATTCGATCACCACACCCAAAACGCCCACCCCCTAATGATATTTCACGCTATCCATTTTCGGCCGACCAACCCTAAACTATTGCTTTTCGAACAAATTCAAAACATAGCCAACAGACAGTCCGAAAACAGAATGAAGTCAAAGAGACCAAATAAGACAGTTTCAGCTGTAAAGCTATAAAGCTATTTGAGTTCAAGATTTTTTGATGATAAATAACCTAATTGCAGAAATTAATTAGCCTTATATCTAGTAAATGACTTCGAACGTCAACTTAAAAAAATCAATAGAGAAAACTGTCATGAATAAACTTTCCGTGATAAAAAAGTAAAGAAATTTCATCCAATTAATTTGATTTTTGATTTTGTTCAGCAGCACTTAAAATGTGGAAAGCAAGCGCCGAAAAGTAAGATAATGACCTGATTTTTCCCAATTTTGTGACGAATTTTTTTCAACTGGTGCGAAGCAACAAAATGATGTTTCGATATTTTTCTTGTTTTAGAATTAGTTGTACCAAGTAAAATGTCCTTTTTGCACTTTTTGGAGAGAAAAAACACCCTTAAGCTACCATTTTCTTTTTGAGGTCCGAATAATATATATCACACTATATTAATGCGAGTATTTTCTAAGCAATTATTTTGAACTTAAATTAACCCAATTTGAGGAAACTGTGTCTGGAGTTCCTTCCATGTTTTGTTCATCTGCCATAAAACTATGAATTAGCGCTGGTTGTTGTTCTGACTATCCTAGATATGGGAAGGAACTATTGTCTTATGTTTTTCACGCAAAATCAGGAACCTCGAAGAGTGATTTTTGGTTAACGTGGGTGGTATGATTTTAAAGCCCTTTCAGCTCTAATTAAATTGTTAATTTTTTTTTCAAAAAAGTTATCTGCGTCGACAAACTTTTCTGAAATTTTGCCATTCAGACTTAATATAATCGAAGAGTGGAAATTGAGTTTTCGTTTGCTGAATGAATTCCAGATAACATCTATTTTCACATCATAAATGACCAATTTATTCTTTTGAAACTCATTGTAAATTCTGCGAAAAAAATCTCCTTTCTAGGAACATTCTTTGCCACTTGCACAATAATCGGCTACTTTCTTCTTTTTTTAACGGTTTGTTTTTTGTTTAAGCATTGTGTATTGGCTGCGAATAACTTTCTGCTGATCTTTCAGCTGTCTCTAAAATTACATGGTCGCTCAAATTTTTAATTACATTTCAGCTGTCTTTAAAATTACATGGTCGCTCAAATTTTTTTTAGAATTTCAATTGCCATGCTTTTCTGTTTTTCATTATTATGTACCTTTTTGCACTTGTCAAGAATATATACATCATTAATATTGTGGATTTCTTTAAAATCGCGTGACCCCCAAAAAAAATTTTTTGCTCGAACCTCGCCAGCATTAAACTAAACTGAAGATGAGACAAATGTGATTAAGTTAGCTGTAATTAGGTTGGCCGCCTACCCGCCCTTCTCAGATGATTACAATGACATGCCACTGGTTGAGCAGATCAAGAAGGCTCGCTTCTCCTTTGCCGACCATGCATGGAAGTCAGTCAGCAAAGAAGGTCAGAGATCGCTTTCTCGAAATAGACGCGCTAAAAGTTCTTAATCATTTTGTTATTTACTAGAAAACCTGTGAAATTTTATGGCACGGATAGTGTTATCCAACCAATTGGTATCTTAAGCGTGATCAAGCGTTAAAAAGCGTTTATCATAAGTTCTGCTCACACAAAGAGAGCCTAGTGTCATATTACGAAGTCCACTTTTTCCAACCTAAGTCTACTTTTTCACTACAGCAAGATATCTTGTTTACTTTTGCTGCATTGGCCTTATATCTTTGTTTCTGGTTTATTGGTGGCTAGTGTTCGATTAATATGAAGAGCCCATGGCTCAGATGTTGGGACTGAGACTCTTGATCACGAGGTTAAGGTTCGATTCCCGAACAGATCAGTATTTGTATTATTAATTTTTTTTGCATTTTTGTTAACCCTTTTAGGGTTATTTTTATTAAGTGTCAATGAACGAACGAAGTGAAAGAAGGTTTGCTGAAAGGGAAGCAATTTACATTCCCCGATTACAAAAGCTCAAATGGTGTGAAAAAAAAACGTGATTGAATTCAGTTTCGGAGAAGTATTTGAGTTTTTAGATTTCTCACAAGAATTAACACAGGGGAAGTTGGTGCAAGAAAAAACATAGTAAGTCGATTAAAAATGTTATAAAAACTAAGTCTACCAAAATTTCAAATTTTTTGATAGAAACTTATTCCAGGAGAAAATCCTAGACATTTGAGTAATAAATTAGCACCCGAACAAAAAGAGGAAGCAAAGCCGACGATGTTTGTGCAGAGCAGATATAAGTTGATTCGAAAAAATATGATTCTATAAAAATGTTAAGTTATGAGTCCCATCTGAAACTACAATGACGACACTTGCACTTGCAACTACAATGAAAACTGCTTACAGCCTACGAAAAATCAGTGATGTAGCAACAAAGCCGACAATCTTTGAGCAGACACCAGTTGAAGTCCCTCCTGAAACTAGAATAAACACACGTGCACTTGCAAAGTTGCTTGCAGCGCAAGCAAAATCTGTGCTGTGGCAACTTGGCCGACAAAACTTGAATAGACAAACAAAATCCGACAAGTCAATTTTAGCCGATTTTTTTTTTCAATTGCATAAGAACTGAAAAAACAAGATCCGGCCGAGACTCGAACCCCAGACCTTAGGATTTAAAGGCGACGGCGGTACTGCTGGGTCAATTAAGAAGGAACCTGATATATGTTAGGTTTCAATAATAAAGAAAAGATGTGTAAAGCAAAGAGAGTAAAGAAGAGAAGAATTTAAGCCGAAAAAAAACTTGTCATAAAAAAGTTTTGAGCTATAAATTTCTAAAAGTTTTTACGAACCACATGAAAGCATGAAATATATTTTACCTCCGAAACTACGCAATATGATTTGACTAAGTTGAAACCGTTTAATCGAAAAAAAAACAAAAAATTACAATTTACAGAACTTTAAATTATAGTAGAAACTATTTAAATAAAAAAACCTATGCTTTGGAAAGTAAGCCGAAAAAACATACCAGATATTACAAACTACATTTAAAAAAGGACTTTGAGACGACAGAAATGAGGAATAAAACCACGAAAATGATATAATAAAATTTTCAAGACGGTAGTTTTGTTTAAGCTTTCACGAAATTGAGCATGTCTGCTGTTGCGAAAATTGAAATTCTTACTAAAATTGACCACTCTATGAACAAAGTTATTCAAGGGAAAAACGTCTAGTACCCGATTGCAATACTTTTGCTTATTGCAAGTTAAAAAGTTTCCGTACGAATAAAAAAACCCTGGTGACCTAGTTTTCTCTAATTGGGTTAGTTGTATGAAAAAAGTGTCAACCATTAAAAATTTATGAAAATCAACGAGATTTCTCTCTCTGTAGTTTTTCTCTTCCTAAATATCGCATGCTGAAAAATGTTCAAAAACCTTTTTTTGGTTTCCTTGAATTCATTGAAATTTTTCCAAGTGTCTGTTTTTCAGTTTATTTTTTGACTTTCGAAGAGCGTAACGAAATATATGTGCTCGGGTAATCGTCCCAACTTCGAGAAGAAAACTTTGAAGTCTTAAAAGATATTCTTACAATTTTTGAAAAGCCCGATTTTTTTACGAATAGAACTCAACTTTTTGGCTAGGCGTGCATACCAGGGTTTTTATAGAAAGTAATTTACCCCTGCGATAAGCAAGGGTTTTGCAATCGGGTATTCGACTTTTTCTGGAAATATTTTTGCTCACAGGATCTCCAATTTAGTACAACTACAATAATAGTACAAGCTCGATTTCAGAATTTTTCCACTCTATATGTCTTGCATTTTTTTTTTCAAATGCATAATTTATACATAATTTGGCTTTAGGCTTTCTAATTTATTACATGCAAAATTGTGTCTTTTTGTATTTGATGCTACTTTTGTTGCATCGAATTGACAATTTATTAGCATATGTAGCTGCGTTTTTGGTGGCTAGTTTTTGGGGATCTTAAGCATCCGTGGCTGAGTGGTTAGTGCTTTAGTTGCTAGGTCGCAGATTCAAATTCGGCACGTAGTCGAGGTTTTGCCAATTCGATGATTATTTCTTCTTTTTCTTATTTCACTTGATAGATCTGCGTTTTAATGGTGTAAAAATGTTTTGAAATTCGCGCGTTAATTGTCCCTAATATTTCGCGCATTAATTGTCCCAAATTGGCAATGTTTAAAACATTGTAATTACGAAATATGATCTCCGGAGGAATATATTTTTTTTTAATATAAGCTCGGGGTAAGCTTCGGAAGATAAAAAATTGTCAAGTATGGCTAGTTAAAATATCTTTTGAATTTGAGCTCAGGGCAACAATTTTTTTTTCTCGAAAAGTCGAAGTTGGTCTGGAGGAATAAAAATACCCCGAGCACAAATATTCCGTCACTTTCTTCGGAAGTCGGAACAAAAAGAATTTATCCCATCAAGTACCCAATATGATATCAACAAAGTCATAGAGAGATTTTAAACATGTGTTATTATCAATGACATTTACATAAAGAGAGGATAGACAAAAGGGAGTATTTGACTCCCTCTGAAAGTTTACCATGTTCAAGTAATTTTCAACAAAACACTGATTAGTGTAGGCGGCAATTTAATCCAGCTCTAAAATCATTTCAATTTGAATTGGTGTGGGTACATTTAGATACATGTTTCGTGTCTTCAGTACCTCATTAACAGTGCTCATTCTTCTTTTCAGCAAAGAATCTGATCAGCAAAATGATCGTTGTCAACGCTGCGAAGAGATTCAACTGCACACAGGCACTCCGGCACAATTGGCTCAAAGTGAGAAAAAAGCTGCTTTACCAATGTTGAGCTTATTTTACGATAACCACAATAAGAATTCAATACTTTATTGCTTGATTTGCAAACCAGTCGTTTTTTATGGTCGGTTTATATATATAAACCGTACTCTTGATCGGATATACCTTGAATTCAAAATCTGAAAATTTATCAATTTTAATGGTTGTTCGTTAATTTAGGGGCCTTCTTGAAGTGTTTTTATAGCGCGTACGCTTCCTACTATCAGTTCAATGCCCATGTGAACATTCTCCCCCCGAAATAGACCAAGTGAACAAATATCCCCCTAAAATTGGCGCTAACACAAATAAATTCCCATACAAAACAGTCCGAAACATCACAAAAAGTCTTAAAAACAGTCCCATACAAAAAATAGTCCGAAACCATTTAACTTTTTCGACCTTGATCTTTTGGCGCCGACAGAATTGATTTACGCTTTGAAACATCAAATATGAGCGTAATTAAAGATCACAGAACCAAAAATTAAAGAAACGAGAACCAAAAATCAGAAAAGCAAAGGCATCGTGTTATAAAGAGTAATGCGTTAGACTCGAAGTCTAGAGAGCAAAGAACTGTAGAGAGCTGGGCCAGGCCAAGGGGGAGGTTGAGTTTTTTCGAGTTTTTGGTATTTAATCTTTTTGAGTCCGGGTACTTTTTGTCCTGGTCTCATTTTTCTAATAAAAATTTTACTAGTTTCGTGAAATTGTTGTTCCAACCGTCTACAGCTTGGTTGCCAATATATGTTTATTCGAAATTGTTGAATATCGATTGACATTTTTCGAATGCTAGACGGCGAAGAAGCTAAAACGCAGCGAGGACGTCTTCTACGGGCAGAAATGCTGTTGACTAAAGCATTCGAATTAGCTCACGAAACTTAAAGCTATTGTTGTAATTGTGAGTGTTGCCTGATGCCTGAATATGTCGCCAGACGCTTTGACTCATATTGAAGAAACAAAACGTAATTTGAGCGTGAGCGCTTTGATGGGTACCTGGTTTTGAGTTTCGCAGAGCTCCTTCAAATTCAATTGTAACGTGTTTTGGGGACTCAGCTTTTAGATCATTGAGGAGGCGACAATAAGTTGATTTCTTTTTTGTCGGGAAGCAGAGCGTAAACAAGAGGTATAGGGCATCCTTCAACTGAATTAAATGACAAGTTCAAGCTGTAAGGCCTTTATGTACTATAATGAAATCTAATTGGCTGAAATAAACTTATTTTAACCAAGTGAACAATCCCCCCTGTTTTGAGTTCGGGTTCATAGTCCACTTGTTCAAACTTCTTACAAATCTAACTGAAACTTGTGTTTGGATTTTGGATGAAGACACAGATAGACATGTACTCATATATCGAAATTTTGCATCCTTATTGTCAATTTGGGGTTCCAGTTGATCAACAGAAAAAAGGTGCGTTTTAAGCATGACTCAAATTTGTCGTTTAAAATGGCATAGCGGAATAAGGCAACTCGCCTTCGCTTTGTTATCAATTACTACTCATTAACACTAGCGCAAGTTCACCTGCTCTTTTGGTCTGAAAAAAGGCCTTACATGACAACTCTCAATGATGGATGTAACAATGGGGTACGTGGAAGGCTGTGCCTTTAGAGTTGCAATGTCCTGCGGAGCCCTGGGTTGTTCACTTAATCAAAGTCCGCTAGTGAAATTGAAATTCCAGTGTGTATCAGCGGCTGCTTTGAAGGCTCAGTACAGAAATATTTTATAGGACAGCAAAAGATTCCTGTCAAATTATACTTCATAAATAGTTTAACGGGTATTTTATTTTCGATTCTGTTTTCTTGGTGTCTCCTTTTTCAAAATAATTAAGGAGAATCATATTGGGTCGTTTTCTATGCTATGCTCCCACATTGCCTGTTTCAATGCCTTTCTTCTCTTACTGCATTTTTTGTGGCTGGTTTATTTTTTTTATTGTAAGAACGTCGTTTGGTCAATTTGACAATTCTTCACTGCTTGCGGATAGTGGCCGAATCGTAGTCCAATTGCATCGAGCGTTTTTTTGGCCCATTCGTCGTACCAGGCTCGATATTTTGATAAACCTGAACCCGTCAATCGGGCAGTTTTCTTGGCGAACGTCACAACCACAAATTTAACGACCCGTTTATTGACAAGCGTTTTATTGGATTGTTTGTGTGAGAGAAGCTACACATAGAACAAACTGATAATGAGGCCATTGAATGCGTAGCAAGTTATAATTCAAGGACAGGTTTGAGATGTAGTGGTGAACATAACCGCTTCAAACAACAAAAGCCCATTTAGACATATTGTCATAGAGAGGCTGTGAAAAAGAAAAAATTATATTTTTGAAAGTAGACGTATGAACTTACTTTGATTCAAGAACAGTAGCCTCCCGTGGGGGGCGCTCAATTCTGGTTGCCAAATTTTTCCAAAGGGTATAACTTTACGGCATTCGTGTTTTTGGCCGACCAACCTCGAAAATTTTCTAAAGGCGCCTCTGCCGCCAAAATAATTAATTTCGAGGGGGGAGCGCGCGCCAAAAAAACGCAATTTTTTTGCCTGTTTTTTGAAAAATTTGCCTGCGGCTCAGAAAATTTTTGTTGAAATAGGGTCCTTATAGCATTTTCGGAGAGCTCGGAAAATCAAATTGATCGACCTAAGAAAAAAGTCCGCACAATTTTCAAAACTTTTTCGAAAAACCGCCCCCCTTTGAAAAATTTCAGCGCACGCCACTGGTCAAGAACATATAATGTTGAAAATTTAAAAACTTGTCTCTCTAACGTCTGAGAACAATTTGAACATGAATAGTATTTTGACTCTTTGACCGTTCGATGACTTCATTTTTTGTCTTAAGTTACCCATTTTTTGTTAGATTTCTGCCTTAAGTTTCTTGTTCCGGAAGTTCCTGGTACTGTTTCGATTTGGCGGTTTTAAAAGCAAGATCTGTATCCACCAAACTTAATCGCATTTGCTTCCTGTTATTTAGTAAGTTGTCAAACATGTGGGAAGTGTAAGTTGCTAGGAAGCATTGATGCACAGGAGCATAGGAAGCACCGTTTTTTCTATCCAGTAGTTTCAGAAATTGTCACAAACATATAACAATCCGTTAACGTGCTGAAATAGTACAACCGTAGTTATCATTTCTCTTTTCAGTTTTTTTACGTGTTTTTAGAACGAAGTTGCGGATTTCTCATGGCAGAGAAATTTTTTTTCTCGAGAGCGGAAAACAAAAATGATTTGAATTTCAAGTATTAAGTGAATATTTAACCAAACAATAATGTCGGAACAGCTTGGAAATGTTTTCAAAGTTTTTTTTGTAGTGATGAACGTTCCGTCTGTATTCAACTACAAATGCTATGAAATTTTCTTTTAATAGGATGAAGTAATGGTTAAGCAAGTCGAAGAATTGATGAAGAAAGACATCGATACAAGGGATGCGACAGCTAAAAAGCCTTCATCAGAAGATGTGAATGCAAGTGTTATGCAAAATATATCACATGAGAGCGAGGCGGACTTGCTGAATAATACGGTGCAACTGAAGAACTCGTGTAAAGAAAACGCTGACCTCACTGTAGGAAATGTATCAGAGAAGGACATAGTGTGGAAGTTAGAGGAAGATTCTTCAGAATCGTGTTCAGGTGCCAAGAAAGCAAAAGTCGATAAGCTAAATTGAACTTATGCAAGCTGAACAAATGATCACATTCTTAATTGATTTTGTTTTGGTATTATATTCCAACTGTCAAAGAAAATTAACCATTTTTGTAAATCGTCACATGGTTATATGGCTCGATCGCTTTTTTTAAAAATGTTTATCTTAAAAATTGTTTAGCCTATTTTTTGCTGCAAAGATAGCCTGCTATTCATAAATGAACTATCACAAAAACAGTAAGGAGACTGCTCGTATCAGGGCAAAGCCCTGACTATTCCAACTGCCCATTAATTGGGCTCGAATAATTTGAGCCGTGTAGAGAATTAATAAGACCAATAATTTTGGCTCCATTCAAGTGGGAACGATTAGTCCGGATAATTTGCCATTCATAAATAATATGTGTATTGAAACAATATGTCTATTGAAACAATAAGTCCAATTTATAGCAGTTACATATGGCCAAAGCACTGAGCACGTCTTTGACCATTTTTGTTGCGACCACTTAACATTTTTGTTTTAAGCTAAATCGGGTTCCACAAATTATCACCAGAATGGTGTGTGATATGTCATGTAATCGTAGTTCTTTCAGTCCTGATTTGAAAGACAGTGTCGAGATAACCTGTTTAAAATTTTTGATTTTTAGCTTTAGTCTAGTTTCAATGAGACAGCAGTTAATTTCAAAAAATGAACCAGCAGGCTTACAATATGAAATAAATTTTTTGTTTGTGCCGCGAAAACTACGTTTTATTCAATTTAATATAATTTTGAATTATTTTTTCCGCTTTTTTGGAATCGAAAATTAAAAAAAATAAATTTAAGCGATAAAAAAAATAAGTTTATTTGCAAGGTTTTACTATTCATTTTTGAAGGAAATCATTGTCGAAATGCTTAGTTTACTATTATTATCAAATGCGCATAAAATTTACTTGAAAGGAGTGATTCATCTTTTTTTTTGGTCGTGAGGTTTTTTTTTCAGGAAGAAGACTAAAGTTTGTTCACGTTTAAGTTTGATTTGTTGCAGTTTGTCATGTGATTTTTTGAAGTTGAGTTCATGCAAATTGCACTGTTTAATAGCAAAAGTACTATTGGCGCAGAAAAACGTGATTGTCTTTTAATGTCTTGATTTCCCAGCGGAGTAAAAATTTAAACTATCGACCCCATTTCTCTAGTTTTGATTTTTTATTTCGATTCTCTGAGTTCATCAAGTTTTTTCTAACAGCTTGTAAGCTATAGTTAAATTTCGCTCACCTACCTAATTAATGATAAGAAAATATTGGGAGTATTAGCTTAGATTCAATTGCTTTTCACCAATGCTTTGAGGGCATAAAAGCGTTCTGCTCTAGTTTTTCAGCATGTTCCAGTTTTTTGATTATTTGACGTGTCTGTAATGTGAAAATTTAACAGACTAAAAGAAAACAAATCTAAAGACTATCGTAAAATGCGACATGCGTAACAAAAAATAAAATTACAGCGCCTCCTGAGCTTATAACCCGTGTCTTTTGACCCTCAGCGTTTTTACCCATCGTCAGTAAAATATTTCGAAAATAACATAACCCAGTTAAAATTGAATCTTGTTTAAATTCGGAATATTTAAGACACTTGAAGGAGAACGGCGCGATAGTGTCTGTAAAGATCGGCATTAAAATGACCACATATTATTCAATAAAGAGAGAAAATATGCGCACTGCTAAAAACGCCCAAATTTTCAACAAAAAATACCTTGCCAGATGGTTAAACTTGAATTTGAGGCCCAAATTGACACACATAGCCGAAGCTGAACTTCGCATCAGTTGCGTACGACGCAAGCGTAGCATTTCAATAATTTCCGAAATACAATCGAAAAAAAAACAACCACAGTATTGAATAAACTTTGAGTAAGCGTGTTCACTGAGCAGCACCTAAGCCGACAAGAATGGTAGACCCCAATTTGTCCAGAAACAAATAATGCGATAAAAATATCATAGAAAATTCGAGCAAAAAGGTTGTAAAATTTTGCAACAGAAACAACCTGATTTTTGAAAAAATTTAATCTTCTTTTGGTTTTGAAGCGACATAAAATAGAGTTACTAAGCCAATAAAAAAGTAAGCTGAGACAATTTAGTCCGAATAAAGTTTTTAAGCGGAAAAAAGAAAAAGGAAAACCAAGGAAAACAATCAACGAGGTAGTATGAGTTTTACAGATGACAGAGGTAATCCAAAAACACTTGCTTTCACGATGAAAAAGGCTGATAGCACAAAATAATCTTCAAAATGGCTTTTGAGCCGTGAAAACAGATAAACGAAAGTCCGACAAATCAATCTTTACCAATTTCAATCACAGTGAAAAAAAAACAAGAACCGGCCAGGTCTCAAACCCAAGGACTTTAAGGTACAAAGATATCTGCGTTATCCCTGGGCCAACTGAAAAGATCTCGATATTGACAAAGTTTGGTAATAAGCAACTTCACATTTTTTGCAAATGTTCACGGGAAAAAAGTGTAAATATTATCTTAAATACCATCCCGCTAGTATTAAAAGAATTTGCAAAACAAAGCTTGAATATTGAATTGAAGTTTATTGTCACAAGAAAGCTACTCTAAACTTAATTTTCCGAGGACCAAGTCATTTCGAAGTGTAAGTATTTCATTTGTGAATCATTAAAAAATTTCCGCTATTTTGGAATTTGCTGCCATGCCAACATAGTGTTATGGCCAGCTCATGGTCTCAACATAGGGAATTATAGAGGCAAATTTTCTGGGATTTAACTGCCTGAAAACAAAATTAAATAAAACCGATTATAGATTTTTTGTTGAATACGTTCCCGTGAGGCTCCAAAGAACCGCTGTTTTTTTTTCAAAAAAGAACAAAAATTTTAATTAAATTTAAAAAAATAATTTAACTTTCATCAACTTGGCAAAATTAGGCTTCAATATGGAATAGAAGTTTGTTGGAGATAGATAGATATGCTAGGTATGGACACATAGCGTGAAAGAAGAGCACATCAGTTTGTTTTTCAGAGATCAGCATTCTGTTTTGCGCCTTTTTGTTCAAAGAGTTTTTGTTCGGACTTTCGAAAGTGATTGGATCATCTGTAACTGCGTTAAAATGAACTTAAAAACCCGATTTTTGAAGAAACTAAGGAATATATATGCCCGGGTGGTTTTTTCAGCCCAGTTTTAAAAATTTGACTGCATATGGGTATCGATCCGGCTATCTTCGGATTGCCTAGCGAGTATGCTTGCCAAGCGAGTACCCTCGATTAGTAGCTGATAACTTCAACGCGCGAATTAATAAGCCGAATTATTCCGCATCATAATTGTTCGTAACTGAATTGAGGCAAACTAATTGGTCATTTTAAGTCCACTCGAATGTTAGCACTTTTTATGTGATATTGGAAATATTTGATTAATCAAAATTATATTGAACAAAAACTATTCGAGACCTGAACATTCATGGCTTTGCCTTGATATTCGGGCAGTCTTGTTTCTTTTTCGGGAACATTGAGCAAAAAGTTTAAAATGACCAAGTTTTGAACTTATCAATTTTTCATACATTTGCACAGCAACCGGCTATCTTTATTTTTTTTGTATGGACTAAAGGGCCAGTTTAAAAATGTTTCATCCAAACGGTAGTTCTGCGCAAGTTTTGTTTTATTCACTTGACATTACTGCCCTCTTTAACTAAGAATAAATATACCGTACTTTATCTCTATAATGTACGGTAAATTATAAACACCAATTGCGAAATTGTTCTTGATACTCATACCGCGCCCTCATCGAGCCCAATCCAGATTTTATCCGGCTATGCTTTTTTGCATAATCATGTAACAATCTCATACTCGATTGATGAGGTCCCTCCCACCCCACCCGTCTTTTCTTGACAGTCAGTGTGATGGTGCGGTGGCAAGGGGGATTTCAAATTGGATTTGGTGGCGGTGGGGGTCAATAGAGGGTAACAGATCAAATGGGACAGGAAGTTGTAGCGTGATTGGTGTTGTTGGCGTTATGGGAACCAGACTCAACTTTTAAGTCCCGTTATCAAGAACAGCACTAATTCAATGCCGGAAATGAACAGAGCTAAGCAAAGCAGAAAAAGAAACGACCCAAGTTGCCTAATTTTGCCCCCTTAATGGTTGCTCCGTCTGATTACCTGGGCTAAAACTAGGCGTCCAATTGAATGGAAAAATGATTGCTCCTTTGTTATTCGACATACTGCCCTTATAAATCTTTTAATCTAAAATCATCCAGCTACAAAAAACAATTATTGCACGGCTAACAAAACAGCGCCTTATATTTTTCAATCAACAAGACCCCGAACATTGTTTCATTACTTAATAAATAGCGCCAGCACAGGTATCGGCAATCGTCACTCTGTTTTACAGAGGCCACTTTCAAGTTTGTTTTACCAAATAGGGCGAGGAGGCATCAGGCCAATAAAAATTGATACGAAAAGTCAAAGAAGGGATACAAAGTGGGCTATTAATTTCACACCTTCTCAAAACTCCCCATCTAATTATCCTAATCTCACCAGTTGAAATTGCACAGAGCGCCCAAATCCCTTCTTAGCTAGAAAGGAACAGCTAATCCCGTAAACCATCGCGACCACTTATTAAACTTTTAATTGGTCTTTCACCCATCATTTCCAATCCGCGAGATTAGACTCCTTCTGCGCTCACTCTTTCTCTTCCGACTTAGCCCTCTGTTCAAATTGCTATTCGCTCTCTCATTTGCTTTCAAAACCCCCAACTTGTCGCTTCAGTTCCGATCAGCGTCCACACCTGATTCCAATTATATCCTTCAAGATCTACAAGTCAATTCCTCTCCTGAAATTGACGTGTTATAATAACACTTCTCTCCATTTTCATCTAAAAAGGCCTCCAAAAAACACCACAAAGCACAACACAGCAGTCTCTAGTTGCCCAAAATGAATGCCCAAATTAGTTCAGCCGCCGTCGCCGCAGCTTTTCTCCTATTCTGCTGTGCCATTTTGGCAGTCCGAGCATCAGACGAGGGCTACCCGGTGAATGTTGAGACCCGTGCAATCTACGACTTTGGACAGCCTCTCGGAAACCTGATCACATCGCCCGACGTGCGAAGATTCGGAGGAGTGACGGAAGAGACGCCCGACAAGCGAATGGGGGGATA